GGCAGCACAGCCTCTGCCGTGTTTCAGGAGTCACGGTGTGCTGTGTGGGTCAGCTGGCAGCACAGCCTCTGTCGTGTCTCAGGAGTCACGGTGTTCTGTGTTGGTTACCGGGCAGCACAGCCCCTGCCGTGTCTCAGGTGTCACGGTGTGTTGTATGGGTCAGCGAACATGAGAGCCCCTGCCGCCGTGTCGTGTCGTCAACAGGAACAGACGTTCTGTCGACAGGTACAGCCGTTTTGCCGTTTTGTCAGGAGGTACAGCCGTTCTGTCGACAGGTGCAGCCGCTCTGCCGACGGGTACCGCTGCTCTGTCAGCACGTACAGCCGTTCATTTGACAGGTTCAGCCGTTCTGTCATCACGTACAGCCGTTCAGTCGACAGGCACAGCCGTTCTGTCGAGAGGTACAGCTGTTGGTCGCCGCGGGGACCGCTCGGCCCCAGGCTGACGGCGGCGTCAGCGCGTGAGTCGATTCCTCAGACATTTTGTTTGCGTTTATCCAGTTTTCTGGCTAATCACTGCGCTGTACACACTGGCTAGAAAATGTAAAATTTGGCCATGTGTGGAGTAAAAAGCGTCACGTTCGCTGTACGAGACAAACGGAATCCTAACGGACGCGACGACATGCGAAGCATTGCGTCCACGGTTTTCCCAAATGTCATTTCGAATTTTGTCTGTGACTTTCTGAAAAGTCATTCCGTGTTGCGGCTATGGCTCCCTGAAAAGCCATTTCGGATCCCATTTGCATACCCATGTGTATCCCAGTCCGATACACGCGTAGCAGTATTTTCCGCGACGCGGCGGACGGCTTAAAAATAGAACCATTCAGATAAAAAACGGATTTCAGGTTTCCGAGCTTGGGCGGATTCAGTGAGGAATTACGATGATAATTAATCTGCTTATCTGGTTAAAAAAAAACAGTGCTTTTAATATCACATTAGACATTGCAAGCAACGCGGCTTATATTTCACGAGCACCGCCCTTGCGGAGGGTTTTCCGTGCAACCATGCAGTTTTCACCGACTTGCAGAGGTGGCCAGTACAGCGGCTTGTCGAAGCCCAGAGCATGGCATTCTCTGGATGTCGAGACGGTCCCAGGGGGGGATTCCCACTGTGAATCGGATACGCGGGGAAGTACCTTGAGACCGGACAGGAATCGAGTTGAATGACGTGTCGAGTTGCAAGCAAGATGACTTATCAATATGGCCTTAAAAAGTCAAAAACACTGATGGGTAACGTGGTATGAGCTTCGTCCTCGGACACAATTTGCCCGCATACCACGGCAAAAGTAGCCGGTAAAACGCACTGTGTGATATGGGATGAGCGAGGCGCAGCGTATCACATGGCCAGGCGCTATCAGGTAGACGTTGTCAAAAACTAAGGTGATGGAGATGCACGCCCTCGTAGAACAACACCAACGGACCTGATCAAGAAGTTTAAGGTCCTTCGTTAGAGTTGGAGTGCCCTATTATGTGACGTGTAATGAGAGCTGAGACACATGGAGTTGGCTTAATTGGGGACAAGTGGTGGATTGCGCCAATATCGCCGACACCCCTGCAGGCATGTCTGCATTTCATGCTGATCTGATAACGCTTTGCACGCGGCCAGGGTGACGGATCCACGAGCCATCTGCCAGCAGTCGGCCTCAATTTACGTGGTCTGGCGACGACGCCGTCATCGGTCACCATCGGAGCGCCAGCCGCCGCCGCTGTTCGACGACGGGCCGCGAGAGAAGGCGCGTCGCTGCTACAAACGCTAAGAGAGATGAGGGGTAGGGATAGGGATAGAGACAGAGAGAGAGAGAGAGAGAGAGAGAGAGAGAGAGAGAGAGAGAGAGAGAGAGAGGAGAGAGAGAGAGAGAGAGAGAGAGAAGAGACAGAGAGAGAGAGAGAGAGAGAGAGAGAGAGAGAGAGAGAGAGAGAGAGAGAGAGAGAGAGATATATATATATATATATATATATATATATATATATATATATATATATATATATATATATATAGGGTTCAGAGTGCGGCCGCCGCCCTCGCCATTGGAGGTTCAGAGTGCGGCCGCCGCCCTCGCCATTGGAGGTTCAGACCGCGGCCGCCGCCCTCGCCATTAGAAGTTCAGACTGCGTTTTGGACAGGTATTTCCAGGGTGAGTCGTTGCTACCTGCTTGCGGGGAGTGCAGATGGGAATGCGGCCAGCAAAAAGCACCCGGGTACGGTGATTGAGCAGTGCAGCACCAGGCGACAAACAATTTATTAATCATGGCGTAAAAGACGGCTGCCAAAGTGAGCAGTGGGATGGCAAATGTGGGGCTAGGTAGGACAATCGGCCAGATGGTACGCCCACAAGCGTACGCCACAACGCAAATTTAAGCGGAACTTCTCAAACGTTTTGTCGCCCTCCCCGACCCTGGTTCGACTGAGCCAAAAGAAATTGCGTGCATCGTGAAATGACTTAACGGAGATTAACTTCCGTTGTGCAAGGCCTGCTCGTCTGAAAAAACAACGCTGGAGACTAAACACAAATGGCAAGGGGTAAAGGGGTTGTCAGGGGTGTTCAAACACATGCTCACTTCCTGTCAGACGTGCGAAAATGTCCAAACGATATACCCATTTTTACACAAATCTGCTAGCATAGCGTCAGCGTGATGTTAGTTGTTTTCAGACATGACCCGAAACCTGCATATGAGTGTGTGAATGCAAGTATGCGTAAATGCTGACAATGCTAAAAAAGAGCACTTGGCATCGACGGAGAGGTCGGGCTAAAAATCAACTGAATAGGAACGTAGCACCGAGCATGACAGCCAGATCTGCTTCTCCGGGGGTGGTCTGAACTCTTCCCGCCAAGAGAGGCGCGAGCTGCGGCGCGCTGGCCGCCCTCACACACCGGCCCACCCGGCAAGGCCGTCCGAGCCGTCGCCGGCCGCCACCGGGCGCAAGATTAAAGAGTTCCGCAACTATTCGGGCATTATCTTTATGATGAAACTTGGGCGCGCGCCAGCTGAACCGGCGGTCCGGGGAGCATTGGACCTTGGCGGCCACGAGGCGCGCTCCGCAGGCGTTGACGGCATCGGGCGACAAACCCAGCCACGACATTCCGCTGTCGCAACAAGGAGTATGCCAGGAGATGTGAAATGCGCGAAAGCATGCGGCAGAAGTGTTCGTGAGCCATGAAGCTCTGTCGGGCTTGAGTGTGATGCCGTGTGGTGCGGCTGAAGGTCACGCCATCAGTTGAGAATGCCAGCAGGTCGGTGTGCTTTGTGGACTTCATTCATGCAAGAGAGAACATTCTTAGCATTGTCTCTATACTTTTATTCAAGATTACACTGCATATCAGTCGTACATACAATGCATACACAAAGCGAATATGCATGAAGAGTATTTCGCTTGTCCCTACCGAATTAGAAACCATGACAAGGGAAATGTATTGCACACCGCCCAGATTCAGAACATTTCAGAAAACAGACACGACTTGATAGCGCAGGGAAGCCTCACGGAGCGCCCAAAGGAAACCGGTGCTAAACACACCATGCAACCACTAATCCAGTTCATTCGTCAGCGTCGCGACATGCTGACTCCCACTGGCATGACCGCTATCATTAGCACGGGCAGTGAAGGCCTCTGAGGAGGGAGGGGGGGGGGGTCGCTCCGCCCCTATCATTCTGAGAGCCGTAGGAGGCGGAGTAACGGCACTTTCAGCGTAGGTGGGTGCTATAGCGATCTATATTGTGCAAATTCATGCTCCTAACATATGTTGAACGTGAAATGTGGTTAAATACATAGAATTTCAAACATTGTGCGTGGCTCGGCTTTTCATCATTGTTCAGTGCTGTGATTGCTCAAATTAGACGAAATGGGACACGCCTTATTGTTGGATGATAAATGACACAATTACGATGTAACATGCATTTGGCCTAGGCCGCTAATAAATTAAAAGGCTACTATATACGGAATACAGTGCGTAATACGAAGGGAAAGCCGCAAAAGTGCGGACAAATTGTAGAACTAGGTGCTAACTACCGAGAACTAACATCGACCTAGCATGAACTCGACTAGAACTGACCTTTAACCAGTGACTCAGAATGCCCTTGGCATAGCAAGAGACAGCAATATACTAACAAGTCGCCAACTTTGCCAGAAACATCCTTTGCAGCAGACATGTTGGCAGTGTATCAGCACCAACCTCCGCGTTCTGACGCTGACTACGTTGTTGACTTCGCCAGCCTTAATTTCTAGTTGTCCGATAGAGTTGTTTTTGTTGTGCCTTATGTGACGTGCTGGTGCTTTATTCGATAGAAAAAGATACAGTTCGGCCCATTCATTCCGGCGATTTTCACGAAAAGCCTAAGCGTGCGGATTTGCCCCCCCCCCCCCCTCCACCCCCTCCACTGCGTTTAATAATAATCCAGCACTTTGCGCTCTCAGCCAAGACACTATTGGGCTCGACTTCCACACATACATTTCGCGGGGTCAAAGCTCATGTGCGGCGCCGGCGCCAGCTTCCCGAGGCCATCGAAGTGAAGGGGCAGCACCTGAGAGCACCCAGGGGGCCCATTTCCTGCGGCCGGACCACCTCGCATAGCGTCCAGGAACACAGCCAGCCGGCAAGGTAAGCCGGCCCGGGGATCAACCGAATCCGATCTCCACACCACCTGTCGTCCCCTTCGCCCTCGTCACAAACGCATACAGACTATTCTCATGCGGCCGCGACTCCACAATTCGGCGTCAAAACCCGATCTGCGTCATCGTGTGGAGCCGCCGGCCGCCAGTCACATGCCTTCCCTGCGACCAGGCGCGGTGTTTCCCTCCACGCCGCCGGTGGGGAGCCCGTGATCCCCGCCACCCCGGCGAGCGTGCTCAGCTCACGCGTTCGCCCGGACACACAGCTCAGTCTCGACTTGCTAACACAGAGACCCGCAACCTCCAACTTCTGAACTCGTCGGCCGCCGCTCACCGTCTGATACTCTCCGGCGCTCGGTGACACTACGACACTTGTGCCGCGACTAATCACTCCACGCCCCGCCATGGTAGTCCACGATCTTCAGCGACCGTCTTCGAGGCTCCATGAAGCCGCCGGACTCCACGACACCTGACGATACGACGGATACGAAGGCATTTACTCGCCACACCTCTCCTCCGCATTGTCGGCAGTGGAATCCGTTTTCGGACGGACGTAAATCTCTTCGTCGACGCCGTCCGCCTGGGCAGCGGCGCGTGCCACAGTGAATAGGAAATCCCCCAATCTGAAAGAGGCGGAGAAGACGACGTAACGGCCCGGCAATATCATCCTCAGCCAACGTGAAAATGTGGTGTCGGAAAACTGAGGGCGGCGAGGGGAGAGACGAGCTGAATGGAGACGACACTCATAAAGAGAGAAGAGGGATGGAAGGGGAAGACGAGGCATATAATGAAGGAAGAGAATTAAGCGGCATGTGAAATTCACAAAAATAGAATAATTACAACATGTGCCACACCGTGCCGCAGCAAACAGACAGGGCAGCGGCATCAGCGTGGCAGACTGGCACAATGTCATGCAATAAATATGGTGTTTATTTCCGCAAAAGAAAGCCGCTAACGCCGTGGGAATAGAGCTTGCGCACCATTTGATGCCACTTATAAGCTACAGGGATTTTGAAATATCATGAACGCTCCGGTAATGCTGCGTTCTGTTGGGCTTCCACGGTAGCCAAAACAAACACGTGGAGCACAATCGCACCGTTGGATACAGCGAGATTCCAGCTCCAGCACACCATTCTTCACATAGCTCCCACCCCACGCACGACAAATACATTTTCGCCAGCAATGGGCCAAACCTGCATGGTACGTTCATAAGAATCTGCACCGACAGAGGTGCCCCACTTTGTCAGATGATCTTTATTTTTGGGTGTTATGGTACTGAACGGCAGGTTGGCGAAATGGCTTCTAACATGAATTTAAACATGAAGCGGAGAAGTGACAGTAAATTTCTCAAAAGCTAATGGACGCGATTTCCCGCTCGGAGAAACTCAGCGACACATCATCTGGTAGCTTTTCACATGTCCACTGTCTCTTACCCACATGTCTTCAGTCCCCGCCCAGGTGCCCCGTCCTACAAACGCAGATGTCTGCCGCACCCCGCCCAGGCGCATACAGTCCCCCAGTCAGGTGATCCCCCCATATATATATATATATATATATATATATATATATATATATATATATGTATGGTGTTATACATATCATATATATGGTGCTATATATATTGTATATATATATATATATATATATATATATATATATATATTATCCCTTCTTTGGTCCAGACGTCTACGGCTCCCGCCCAGGTGTTCACCGCCCTGTGCCCGGACACATGGTCCCCGCCAGGTATCATCTGTCCACTGTCCAGACGTCTGCGCCCCCCCCCCCCTCCCCCAGGTGTTCACCGCCCTGTGCCCGGACACATGGTCCCCGCCAGGTATCATCTGTCCACTGTCCAGACGTCTACGGCTCCCGCCCAGGTGTTCACCGCCCTGTGCCCGGACACATGGTCCCCGCCAGGTATCATCTGTCCACTGTCCAGACGTCTGCGCCCCCCCCCCCCCCTCCCCTCCCCCAGGTGTTGCCCGCCCCGCCCAAACAACCCCTTCTCCTGCCCAAGTCTATGGATTCTCTCCAGGTGTTCCGTCCCGTGACCAGGCACATAATCCCTGCCCAGGTGTCGCCCGTCCCCTGCCCAGGTGTTCCTCGTCCCCCGCCCATATATACCCCGTCCTCTTCCCAGACGTCTACGGTCCCCAGCCCAGCTGTCCCCACTCGGCGTCCTCTGCTCCGGCGGCGCATCGACCACCTCGCTCCACCAGCGCGAGGCGGGGCGGCATGGCGACCCTGACACATGTCGCCGATGTAGGCCGGCGCGGCTGCAGCTCGGCTTTCGGGTCGGAGCGGCGCACGCGGACCTTGTCCCCGATGCGGCGGCGGCGGCGGCGGCGCGGCCCGCACACGCAGGCGGCACGCGGCTCTGATCGATGGCCGGAGCGGTGTGCGATCGGCCGCCGCCGCTGCCGCCGCCGCCGCCGCCGCTGTCCGTCGCCTGGCGGACCACCGTAATGGGCATCGATTGAGGCGGGGCGCGATGAGAGTCCGTGAGACGTCAGTCTTCCGTCGATCAGACCAGCAGCGGACTGTCCGGAGAGGCACGCCGCGTGTCCGGCCGTCCAGCCGCCAGCGGCAGCACGCGCACACACCGACACACACACACACACAACGGCAGCCAACGAACAAGAGCCAGGGCGTGCTGGCCGCGTGGGCGAACTGTCAGGCAATGTCGTATGCTTTCCTTTGTCTCCGTTACTGGAACATTACGCTGACACGAACAGTCTGTTTTAAGCCACGCGCTACACACGCGAGACTAAGCCAAAGGCAGGGAGTGTCAAATGGCACTGGTGTTGCGAAAGATCATGTTCTGGGGAAGCACCGCAGAACGCCAACCAATCAGCGGCGAGTGGTACAGCACCACTAGCGAAATTCGCAACGCAGCTGGCGATATACACTTATCACACTTGACATTTCGCGGTCTGAATGACCACTCAGGTCCTGCAATCGAATTTCTTTAGAACCATCCACTAGTTCGCCACTTCAGAGAACGAATTCGACCAGCGTGCCGTAACAGGACCCCGCTTCATCCTGGATGCCCACAGCAATTTCCGACCGTAGTTTTGGACTGGGAGCTTTCATATGGGCTTTGATTAGCATCTGGATGCGCCTGTTGTCATGACGGGTTGACCTCCATAAATAGTAATAACTTGCACTGTACGGGTACAAAATGGGTGCCTACGTGTTTCTCGCCTGCGATCTAATCTCTTCTTGGTTGTTTCTATGACATGTGGTGACAATAGGTCGCGTGGAAGCTATGTTTGGTGCATGTATTATTGTAGTATATCATGACGTAATTTGCGTTGAGTCAGTTGAGATCTGGTAGCTGGGCGACTCGCCGCGCGCGGGCGTGTTTTTGTCGCAGCCTTGGACGAAAGTTCGCTCTCCATTGGATTGGATTCGGCGGCGATAGAACCTATCTCAGACTTCGTGGCTTCGTGGCTTTGTGCATCACTTCATCCTGTCGTCTTTTCAGTTAACGTCATTCAGTGTCAGTTTACCTTTCGTCATTTGTGGACACTACGGTTATATTGTGACACTGTTTTATGTTGAATGCCATTGATTTTGAATTGCCTAATTATGCTTTGTGTCGCAAGTTATCATTCAGATGCCAGTGGGAATGAAGGCGGTATCTGACGTTGCATAATTCAATGTTTCGAGGGCTCACAGTCACTGTCTCCGGCCAGAATGATGCGAAGATGACACGGAGATGATACGGAGATGACAATGGGATGATACCAAAATAGTGCGGAGATGGTGCGGAGATGATACGGAGAGGATATGGAGATGATACGGAGATAGTATAGAGATGAGACGGAGATGGAGCGGATAAGACGGCAAGAAACATGCATCTAAATGGATAACCCGGAGAAGAGTTTCTTCAACACAATTACAGCGTCGCAAGGTACGTTAAAAGACAGACACCACCGGTAAGGAATTTTGAGTGAGAGCGTCTCGGAGTGATGGGAGAGCGCCTCGGAGTGATGAGGGGGGGGGGGGGGGGGTACTTAACGAACGGTAGAGACTCAGGAATCGCCAGAACCCAGAGCTCTCCAGATGGAGACCCGGAACTCGCAGGCTCACAGATCTCACCCTTCAGTAGCCGGCTGGAGGCCCCGGATAAATCGGGTGGAGGCGTGGGGCCAGCCGGGTTTGGCGCATTGTTCACAGCAAGGCGAAGAGCGTACGCCTGGAGGTGTAATAGGCAACTCGAGGTGCAATAGGCAAGCGCAGGCAGCTTAGAGGCTAGTACTTTGCGTGTAGCCGTTGGATATTGTAAGAGCATGTTGGGCGTATCATTTACCCTGACGGATTTAACGTAATTCTGAAGCTTTTTCCGCCGAAACCTTAGCAACAGTGCTTGTTGAAGAAAGTAATGAAATTGTCAGATAACCCAGATACGTTGTGCAGGCAATATCGTACAAAGTTGGCCGCTCGTTAATGACACGCAAGTGTTTTACACAATTGCCGGCTTGTTTCCTGACTGATGCCTTCATTGTGTTATACATTTTGTAGTGGTCAGTACAAAAATTATACATATAGTGAGGAAGGGGGTCACTTAAATTGACTGGTGGGATCCGATGAGGTTGAATAAACCTACCCCCAAGACCTGATTTCTCCTCGGATTTCGTCCACTTCAAAATTGAACTTGTACGACCTTCTCAACGGAAATATTGATACCTGAAAAGCTAGAATAGCTTAAGACTGGCGGGGTCTCCAGTGCTGGCTGCCTTAAAAAACAGCTCGCCAGAAGCTCTGATACACGCGTTGGATGTTGATATAAGCCTATTAGGCCTTGAATCTTTGTGGTCCTGGGTGATGAGTCGGGGTTTCTCACGTTAAAAAATTAACATTAAGTATGCCGGAGGGTGGCAATTAAACGACGTTACCAAAACGAATTGGGTAGGAATACGAAACTCGACGTTTCGAAGCTGTGCTCATGGTCAGATTTATTCGCAAAGGTTGATCAATACCGCCCCCATAATTACTCCACTCAAGAATGCATTGCACAGAATGTTTTGATTCCACCCCTCGGCATCGGAACCTTACAACGTGCCCAGCGGCTGGGGATAGGTGGCGCCGCCTGCTTCTCATCCCGGCAAAAAGGGTGGGTATCGCGGAGAATCGAACCCCGTACCTCTGGTTTCTGGACACACAGCTTAAGCACTGCACTGCCGGTAGCACGATTCCATTCCTCGACACCATTTTTGTGGTACAACCAGGTGGGAGATACACCGCTGAACCGCTAAATATCGACCAGTCACATAAGAAACGCACTTAAATGGTTCTGACGCAGGGTTAGAGCCCACCACGCACGCTCTGCCTGTAGTGGGCGCATTACAACTCCGCAAACCCAGTGGTTGCTACAGGCGCGTTCCATCGGCGGATAAGCTCTGGAAGTTATTCGGAATGTTGGAGACATTGTCCGGAATGGCATTCGGCAATGCTGATAAGGGCAACTATCCCAGATAATTTCCCGTTGCGAGGCAGAACCTTGGAAAAGTTTTCAGAGCACGGTCCAGACGGAGCATCTTTTTCGCTACGCACGGCTTTAACCGCTGATTGTGCATGGCGCATGGGAGACAAGCCTGAGGGGCAATTTCCGGCTCTGCCGAGCGTAAATTTAGAATCTCCGTGCTTGATTACAGGAAGAATACTTGTTTGTTGAAAAAGTTTCCCTTGGCTGAACACGCCCTAAAAAACGGTCTATATATCACAACTGGGGAGAGCGGTGCGTACAGCTTCTGATCCTGAATCGCGTACACGTAGACGCGATGAAGCGTCCCTTCTTTCCGTGAGAACGAAGACACGGATACATGAGTGAGGCCTCCCGATTGTGCTCCAAATTATCGGTTTAACGAAACATTAGGCTCGCAAAGACGTCGTAGAAAGGTGAAATAAGCGGACTGTGTCTGTATGAAATCACCGTTAACATAAGATGGCCCGGATAAACGTTAACCATGTTTCACTCAACAGCAGCAAGTGTATTTCTCGTACAATCAAGACAGCGGTGGCATTAGAATGGCATTTCAATGGCAAAACGTGGCAAAACGCAGCATTCGTCATCAGCCACCTCACATTCGTCACCTCATGACTCTACAAAGGATATCTCTGAGAACGAGAGCGAGTACCTAGTCATCAACACGAGAGCGCTGCATCGTTACCGCCAAGATGCCCTTCTGGACGGCCATGAAGCCCATTTCTGGGTGGGCAACCGGCCGGCCAAAGGACTCCGTGCAGCAGGTTCAGCTGTTGCGCATCCCAGGCTGCCAGGGCGCCACCTGGAGCACCTTTTGTTGTCTCGATTTGACGAGTATGGAATCGCTGATGACCACCGCTATCACTGGACATGTGTTGCCATTCATTTGGCAATAGAATGCCACCACAGGTACGATTGTGCGACAAATAAGCTTGCCGCTGCTGAGGAAAACGTGGGTTAACTTTGATCTGGGTCATCCTATACTTAAAAAATCTGCCGCATGTTGCAGGCAGTTGTTATTTACCCCAATATACGTGTTCTCATGTGGAGATCTTGTCAATATTTGCAGGAAGGCCAGACTTGTCGAGTTTGCATGACATTAACGTTAGGTACCTGCAGGACACTATTCGGTACAAACGGAACATGCTACTGATAGTGTATGCGTCTGGGTACCTGGCGCAACCGCTACGCGAGAACTGCTCTGTATTTCTTAGGCCAGGTATTCCTCTTTTGGTCATACTGCATTGAGGGGTCTCATGAGAGAATTGGGGGAGGCTGAAGTCAGCATTCAGGGGTGCTCGGACCTGCCCCAATAGTACAAGAAGACGCTTCGGACAGTGAGCGTTAGGCGCGGTTGTCAGGGGCGTCTTTTCATATTGGGGGCCATGAGTGAGGAGTCATATTCTTGCTGATATCTTATCATATCCCACTGATATTCTTGCTTGAAACGTGTGAAAAAAATGGGGGGGGGGTGCAACAAATAACTCTGATGGTGGAACCATACCTGTATAAACCAGGGCTGCATCTACCTGTCCTTATCTGGAAGACGTGCGCATATCCGAAATGACTTCTGAGCCTCAGACAATGGGGGTCATAAATCACTCGATCAGTGGATCCTGGAGTCTGATTTCGTCGTTCGTCGATATGCACACGGACGGAGGACGGTACCTTCTCCATCGAAAAATTAGCTTCTTCTTGACTGATCATCTTGATCATGATGTTGACATCGTGTTATTTCATGGGTCCATTTAATGTCATCGTATGATGATTACCAAGTACCGCCATCTTGGACAAACATGGGCTGTCCAAAAACATACCAGTGTTTTAGAGCTCACGTCGGACTAAATAGCTAACTCGTCAAAAAATCGCAGACCAGTCCCTTGTCACGATGCACCATCGCCCCGATCGACGACGGGCCCGTGACCTCATGCTGGTTTGGTAGCGGGCTGCGCTCCGTTTTAGCGTTCCCGGCAAATGGGCCAACCGATATCGACAGCTGATCTGGAGTGGCGACCCTTTCCCGCCCGGAGACTGCAGCTAGACCGCGGCCGAAAACCTGGCGACGGTCACCTTCGCGACCATCGTAGCCGCTCGGCCCCGCGCTGCCGGTCTTATTGGGTGCAGCGCAGGTCACGGACTATTCTAGTCCATTTCGACCGAGGCCGGCCGGCGGTCCTAGCCAGACCCGAGCGCCGCCACCGATCCGAGGACAGCCGCCGCGTCCGCCCGCCGACTGACACCGGCATCGCCGTCCGCCGCCGCAGTTTCATTCCATTCCATTTCATTCCCGGCCGGCATTGGACCCGCCTTCCAATCCAGGCAGCGTTCACCAGAGAGGCGGCGTGTCGCGCGACCCCACCTGAAAGGCGGCGGCGCTGCGGCGAGTCAAAGAGCCGGCTTCGCACCTCGTCCCGCTTCATTTGCTCGGGACCGAAACAGTTCCGGCCTCCGGCCGGTCCCATTAAACTGTCACGCCCAGTCGCGGCCGGCCGCCGGCGGCCGACGGCGCATCCGAGTCAACAGGAGAGCGCGCGAGCGGCGGTCGGCGCCGCCTGGGGGCGGCCGTCACGAGCGGGGCGGGGCCCTCTCCTCGGAGATAATGTGCCCCGCGTGGAGCGCACGCCAGCCGCCTCTCGAGCCTTCTCAGGTCCGGTCGATGCCCACCTGGAATGGTCGATACCCGGGGAGCGGGCGGCCAGTCCCGCAGGCGCGCCCAGCAAAGGTCGCCGCCGCCGCCGCCCGGGACAGGAAGCCGCGCATTTCCGGCCGCCGCACCGCTCCGAGGGGCCGTGCGCCGAGCCCGCTCCGTGGCCGGGCTCCGACCGAAGCGAAGGTTCGGTTCGGTTCAGTTCGGTTCGGTTCGGTTCGGTTCGGTTCGGGTTCGGGTTCGGGTTCGGGTTCGGGTTCGGGTTCGGGTTCGGGTTCGGTTCGGCTTCGGCTTCGGCTTCGACTTCGACTTCGGCTTCTACTTTACTTGACATCGAGTTCGAGTTTGAGTTCAGGCCTGGGTCGGGGTTGAGTCATAGTCTGGCTCCAGTCCAGTCCAGCCCGGTCCAGACACCTGGTGTATCGTGTCAGTTTGGATCAGATCGGCAGCGCGTCGAGCCGCTGTTACCTGTTGAGGTAGACGGCGACGCTGGGGTCCACCTCGCCAACCCTGGTGAGCGGAGTCAGGGCCCGCTCAGCCCGCCGGCAGACGGTGCGTGCCAGGTGAAGCGTGGCGCTCGCCACCCCGCCGCCCTGAAACACACCAGCACCTGATACCGCCGCCTGAAACACACCAGCACCTGATACCACCGCCCTGAAACACACCAGCACCTGACACGGAGCCGAGAAGCACCGACGGCAAGCGAACCGATACCACCGCCCTGAAACACAACAGCACCTGACAGAGAGCCGAGGAGCACCGACGGCACGCGAACCTGAAACACACCAGCACCTGATACCGCCGCCCTGAAACACACCAGCACCTGACAGAGAGCCGAGGAGCACCGACAGCACGCGAACCTGAAACACACCAGCACCTGATACCGCCGCCCTGAAACACACCAGCACCTGATACCGCCGCCCTGAAACACACCAGCACCTGACAGAGAGCCGACGGGCACCAACGGCGTATGGACTAACCCCAGAAACTTGGCGTCATTTATCAAGCAAGTTTGAGATCAAAGTCGGTGGTAGTTAGTGCACCTCATCGTCGCTAAGGCACGATGTCTACGCACGGCCATAATTTGGGACGCCCTGAGGCGGGTACAAATCGTTTCCCATGTTACCCAAAACCGGTACGGCTGCCTGGTCTTTCGGCATACGAGGCATATTTCGGGATACTGCAGGGCACCTTATCTAACCCCTCCGCTTCCAGCCCTCATCAGCAGCTCTCTAACACGTCGACCAAAGCAAGTATACGGCCGGCTGGGACGCTACCTGTCGGGTTTCATTAACGTTTTCAGCCATTTAATTTCTGAAAATGGGCGCAAACATCCTGTCCCAAGCGCGTCCACAGCCCTGCGTGCTCAGAATAGCACGCCCACAGCTCCGGGCTATGGTGCAACCCTGACCGACGCCAACGCCCAACACGGTAACACCTGACTGACGCCAGCGTTCCACATGGTAGCACCTGGCTGACGCCAACGTCCAACATGGTAGCACCTGACTGACGCCAACGTTCCACATGGTAGCACCCGACTGATGCCTGACTGACGCCAACGTCCCACACGGTAGCGCCTGACTGACGCCCGACTGACGCCAACGTCCCACACGGTAGCACCTGACTGACGCCTGACTGACGCCAACGTCCCACACGGCAGCACCTGACTGACGCCCTGCCTACGGCGCATCAGCCGTTGACGGTGTGTTCGGTAGTAGGCGGCTCGGGCCTGCCAAGCGTGATGCCAGACACAGTTGGACCCCGTGCCGCCGCCTCGGCCGAGCGGGGCCGGCACCAGGTGGCGCCAGCGGGTCCCGGGGGTGAGGCGACGGTCGACCCGTCCCAGCGGCAAGCCTCTTATAACGTCAAGCCGCGGCGCTTGGACAGGTTAGCTGTGCCCACGAGACGCGCGCCCGAAGGCTGGGCAAACTGGCGCTGTTCCAAACATGGCGCATGCCGTCTGGGATGTCTAGATCAGGTGCGCTCCGAACGTGGGTTTTTACACGTTAAAACTCGGCATACACGTTCGCGAATGGCTCGCTTTCATGAACGACAGAGACGTCAACAGGCCATACGTCACGTGGCCTTATATGACCTTATTTGACCTCACATAACCTGATATTTGGGTACATTTTTCTTAAACAGCGTTCGAAGCTTTCGCGCAAGTGCTTTCACCAATAAGTGTACGTAAAACATTACAGAAAACGCACGTTGGAAAAAGCAAATGACCTGAAAATGTCTACTTTCAAAGTCATGAACAGGACTTTTAGTTGCATTTCTCCAGCCGAGCCGGGTATTCATATTGAGCCTCCGAACTACTCAGAAAATTTTGAGAACACTGGCATTACCGAGAAAATCGGACACGTCTGATCATACAATGAGTGAAAAGCAAGGTGGAATACTTCCTTTAAGCGTTGTCAACAGGGGTGTGCGTACGCACACACGCACAAAGAGATACAGAGCACAACACCAGGGGCGCAAGCACGTAGCCTACGAGAGCGTGTCCTCTCTTAAGCAAATGCATGGTAAGGATTTAAATGTACATGACGTACATTTCAAAGTGACGAACAAGTGGATTAAAAATATCGTTACCAATATGATAAAGAACATGCAACGTTGTTTTACGACACGCAGGAGATCAGATGCGTCTCCGGCACGGCAAACTAGGTTTTCAGAGACAATTTCTCAGCTGTGCTCACCCGTCATTTGTGAAAAAGCACCAGGGATTAGTTAACGGAGCGAAGATTAGTTGTATTGTCAACACTGGACGTCTCAATTAATTGTCAATGCTCGTCAATAGTCGGAGGCTCATGGTCTCGAGTGACCATGAGCACAGCTTGAAAGTCTAGCTGGACACGTCAAGGCTTGGTGGCGAGCGCAAGGCCAAAGACCACTGCCGAAACCCAGCGCTGTTTTGGACACACGGAGGTCTCGGACAACAGCATAGTCGTAAAATTAGCACGGCTTAAAACGTCGAGTGCCGATAGTACAACCGATGATTGCCTCCAAACAGCTTTTAACCAGTACCTGCTTGTCTAATGAAGGTCGATTATCGTCAGCATAACATTTCTGAACACATTTTTCCGCATTAGGGAGCCAATTAACTCTGTGGTGAGCCTACCTCAGGTTTTATGGCTAGTGTTTTATGCGCCCTCTCTCATCTAAGCTTTTCAGGATATTGTACACTGCCGACAGAGACAAGCCCATGTCCCCAAAACAGCACTGGATGTAGGCCACAAGTGGTTTAGGCGAGCTTTGTCACCAAGTCTCGAGCAGCCTGCTTCAATGACGATGCGGAGTAAAAGTTTAGAGCATCTAACGATGCCATGCTTAAAGATGAATTTGAAGCTATTCGTATCGAGTTTAATGATAGCTAATGATCACCACCCATTAACCAGATTTTGTTACTCGTCTCAAACTCTCTGATGCCCACTCTGTTAAACTCTGTTACCCTACGACACCATCTCAGTTGGTCATTGCTCAGCTGATGTGATTGATGAGTGGTCAGCCGGTGACCGACCACGTCGGCCGCGGCTGGCGACGGTCCCACGGCACAGCCCCAGCGGCTTCAGCTTGCAGCTGGGACCAGACAGCCCCGGCAGACTGTCCCACAGCCCCGGCGGCTTCAGCCTGCAGCTGGGATCAGACACAGCCCCGGCGGCTTCAGCCTGCAGCTGGGACCAGACACAGCCTCGGCAGACTGCCCCACAGCACAGCTTCAGCGGCTTCAGCCTGAAGCTGGAACCAGACACAGCCCCGGCAGACTGCCCCACAGCACAGCCCCAGTGGCTTCAGCCTGCAGCTGGGACCAGACACAGCCTCGGCAGACTGTCCCACAGCCCCGGCGGCTTCAGCCTGCAGCTAAGACCAGACACAGCCCCGGCAGACTGTCCCATAGCACAGCCCCGGCGGCTTCAGCCTGCAGCAGGGACCAGACACCGCCTCGGCAGACTGTCCCACAGCCCCGGCGGTTTCAGCCTGCAGCTGGGACCAGACACAGCCCCGGCAGACTGTCCCACAGCCCCGGCGGCTTCAGCCCGCAGCTGGGACCAGACACAGCCCGGCAGACTGTCCCACGGTACAGCCCCAGCGGCTTCAGCCTGCAGCTGGGACCAGACACAGCCCCGGCAGACTGCCCCACAGCACAGCCCCAGCGGCTTCCGGCGGCTTCAGCCTGCAGCTGGGACCGGACACAGTCCCGGCAGACTGTTCCACAGCCCCGGCGGCTTCAGCCTGCAGCTGGGACCAGACACAGTCCCGGCAGACTGTCCCACAGCCCCGGCGGCTTCAGCCTGCAGCTGGAACCAGACACAGCCTCGGCAGACTGTCCCACAGCCCCGGCGGCTTCAGCCTGCAGCTGGGACCAGACACAGCCTCGGCAGACTGTCCCACGGTACAGCCCCAGCGGCCTCGGCCTGCAGCTGGGACTAGACACAGCCTCGGCAGACTGTCCCACAGCCCCAGCGGCTTCAGCCTGCAGCTGGGACCGGACACAGCCTCGGCAGACTGTCCCACAGCACAGCCCCGGCGACTGCAGCCCGCAGCTGGGACTACAAACCGCCCCGGCAAACTGCCAGGACAAGCCAATGGCTGAATACCGGTAACCGACAGGATCATGCCCCGTGGCTAGCGCACACTCCCCTTGTATTTCACTCGAACCTTCATCTGCACGCCACCAAAGAGCACACCCGTTCTGGTAAAGCTCGGTGGTGAAGGTTTGGGCCGGGAGAGGAACAGACAGTCCCGTCGCAGCTTCAGTTCTAGGTGATCCTCTGATACACAAAGGACCTCCCGAACGCCACGTGTGACGTCAATTCCGAATCGAAACGAAATCCAGCGCCCGTTTAATTTTGGCGCGAACACGAGCTGCAGGGAGGGGCCGGCAGGCATCAACGCGGCACAAGGCGGACTGCCACGCCCTAGTCTGACACGCCGGTGATAACCCCGATACCGGCAGACCTCGACGCAGCAATAACGTTTTACCGCTCTGACGTATTGATCGCTTGTGATCCCCGACACCCGGCACTAGCTTCATGGTAACACAACGCCACCCTGTTCCATCCCACCGCCGGCGGACGGAGCCGGAGCCGGTGCGGTGCTCGGCGGCCGCTCCATCTCGCCGGTGCCTCAATCAATGCGGCGGGAGGCGAGAGGGTGGCGCCCAAGGCAGGACCGACAGAAGGGCGCGCGCCATCGGCCAATCCGCGAGAGACGGACGCTCGTGATGGGTGCGCGCTGAACCCCGCACGCGATTCGGCACGTCACCTTCGTAGTGGCCTCACGCGCCGTTCGAGGCAGGCGCGAGGGGCTGGGACAGTGCCGAAGCGGTGTCACATCAGTGCTACGGCAAAACCTCCTACCGACAGGACCTGTTACGACATCCGCTTTACGCGACATCCCTTATGCTGCAAGGGCTTATACAGACTTAACTCATACGCGACATTACTTCTGCTGCAAAAACTCACACACGACATAAGGCTGCACGACAAAACTTGTGCTGCAAAAAACATCTCGCTAGCACATCTACCGTAACAACTTATGGTCTTAACGTACAAACGACATTACTTCTATTGCAAAAACTCGTACACGACAA